AAACAGAAAAAGCTCTCCTGGACCCTAAACCCTTGAACCCCGAACCCTAAACTCTGAACCCAAGACCCCAAACACTAAACCCTGAACCCTAAACCCTAAACCCTAAACACTGTCCAGAAACTCTGCCCCCTACACCCCTAAACTTGCAAAACTCGCAACCTTCAACTCTAAGAGCCCCTGCGCTTTAAGGTGTAGGCTTCGCGGGCTTCGGGTTTAGGGTTTAGGGTTTAGGGTTTAGGGTTTGCCCTCGGACGTGTAAAAACCTACAAGAACCCAAAAACAACTACCAAAGGCCCTAAGAACCAGAGAATCGGGAGACACCCCAAGAATGTCCTGAGCGCTAAACCCTAAACCCTAAACCCCAAACCCTAAACCCTGAACCCCAAACCCCAAGCCCTAAGCCCTGCTCAACCTCACAAGCCCTGAGAACAAACCCCCCCCCAGCTAAGGCTCGTAGCCAAGAGGCATTGGAATGAAGAGGCCGGGAAGCTGGGCGCATCGCCCATGCGGGTTGAGGGTTTAGGGTTTAGGGTTTAGGGCTTCGGGTGTAGGATTTTTAGGGTGTAGGGGTTCAGGGTTCAGGGTTCAGGGTTCAGGGTTCAGGGTTTAGGGTTTAGGGTTTAAGGTTTAGGGGTTAGGCTTCAGGGTTCAGGGTTTTAAGGCTTAGGGTGCAGCGCAGGGTATTGGGCACCCTAGCCATATCAGGGCTCGTATTTAGCCACCCTAGCTCCGAAGCCCTGTTGGCATGCAGCGGGTTCTCGTTAAAAGAGAAGCAGAAGGTTTCGGGTTTAGGGTTTACGGTTTAGGGTTTCGGGTTTCGGGTTTCAGGTTTCGGGTTTCAGGTTGACGGTTTCGGGCTTAGGGTGTAGGGTTCTGGGTTGAGGGTTTAGCATTTGGCGCGAACCCAACGTGGTATTCTACGGTGCGGGCTGGATGTCACATGGAAACCCTGCACCTTGAGCCTTCAAGGTCCCTTGGGTGGTTTCTGGGTCCCAGCTTTCCGAGGTTGCCGAAAGGATCCTTGGTGTAGAAGCAATATAGAGCCCAAAACACTAGGCCCTAAACCCCTAAACCCCTAAATTCCCAAAACCCCACAACCCCAACATCCCAAAACCCCGAAACTTCTAAACCCCAGAATTTGCTGAAGCTCCAAAACGCCGCTGCGACGACAGTCTCTTGGGGCCTTTAGTATGTTTAAGGGTGCAAAGTGCAGGGATGGCAGATTTGTATAGGGTTTTTGGGTTGGGAGTCCTGAAACCCTAAACCCTGGACCCTGGCCACAAACCCTAAACCCCTCTCTGGCACAGACAGGCCCCGAATTTTGGGGGTGTCTCTGCCAGGCTGGGTTTGAGGTGTTGTGGGGTTAGGGTTTAGGGTTCAGAGGCTAAGTCCTTTTTTTATAGGACTCAACGTGTATAAGCATCGCGGAAAAGGCTGTAGGTTTAAGGCTTTAGATTTTAGGGCTTTGCGGTTCAGGGGTTTGGGGTTTTGGGGGTTCCAGCCTTTGGCGGGTTTAGTTGTCGCGTGTTAAGGTCGAAGCAGTTTGGGTTTACCGGTCCATCCTGAAAGCCGCCCTGAACCCTCAGCCCTGACCCTAAACCCTAAACCCTAAACCCTGAACCGTTTAAGCGTTTCCTTCTCACCCCCCCCCCCCCCCCCCCCCCCCCCCCCCCCCCACCCCCCCCGGCCCGCTGGCCCTTCTCAAGCTCGAATTTACTAGCGAGCCCGAACTACCCAAGCCCTTGAAAAAAGCCCTAAACGCTAAACCCCAAAACCCTAAACCCTAAACCTGAAACCCCAGCACATGTGCCCAAACCATGGAACCCTGAGCCCCAAACCCTGAATGAAACGCTAAACCCCTGAAACCTGATCTGCCCTGAACCCTTAAGAATGAACCCTCAAACCCTCAAACCCTCCAACCCTCCAACCCTCCAACCCTCAAACCCTCAAACCCTCAAACCCTCAAACCCTCAAACCCTCAAACCCTCAAACCCTCAAACCCTCAAACCCTCAAACCCTCAACCCTAAACCCCAAACGAAACCCTCAAGCGGCCTAAACCCTAAACCCGAAACCCGAAGCTCTAAACCCTAAAACCTCTGGAACCTCTCGGCCTTGAGCGTCTCCACCAGGAACCGGTACTTCTCGTGAAGCGCTTCGGCCTCGCGAGCTTAACCCCCCTCAAGCCCCCCCCCAAAACCCCCAAACCCCCAAACCCCCGCCTAAACCCCCCCTGAAGCCCCTAAACCCTAAAACCCTAAACCACCCTAAACTACTCTAAACCTTCCTAAACCACCCTAAACCTTCCTAACTCACCCCTAAACCTTCCCAAATCACCCTAAACCAATCTGACCAAACCCCTAAACCCTAAACCCTCGCGGCTCCCCTAAACCCTAAACCCTAAACCCTAAACCCTAAACCCTAAACCCTAAACCGTGAAACATTTGGCCTGCTCCTGGTCAGGATCCTTGGCCTTGGCGAAACGGAGGTTCAGTGCAGGTTTAGGGTTTAGGGTTTAGGGTTTAGGGTTTAGGGTTTAGGGTTTAGGGTTTAGGGTTTAGGGTTTAGGGTTTAGGGTTTAGGGTTTAGGGTTTAGGGTTTAGGGTTTAGGGTTTAGGGTTTAGGGTTTAGGGTTTAGGGTTTAGGGTTTAGGGTTTAGGGTTTAGGGTTTAGGGTTTAGGGTTTAGGGTTTAGGGTTTAGGGTTTAGGGTTTAGGGTTTAGGGTTTAGGGTTTAGGGTTTAGGGTTTAGGGTTTAGGGTTTATAGAAGGGAAGCTCGCTGGTGCTAAAAGCACCCGGGCCGCTCGCTTGCGTTAGCATGTAGTCCCACCCCAACCACCCAAACTATTCTCATTTAGGGTTTAGGGTTCACCCCCCAAACCCCCCTCAAGGGGGGCTTTCTTGCTTTTGACAGAGAAAGAGCAGGGCGGGGTCTCCCGAGCTTCATGGAGCCTGTCAGTGACTCGTAGGCTTCTTGGAGCTTTCACGGAGTAAAATGGAAGGTGCCCAAAACCATCAATTGCAATACCAAGAACCCACATTTTCGGGCTTGAAAGGGCAGCAAAAACGGTCGGGGGTAGCAGGGCCTCGGCCGGCCCTGCTTTTTTAAATGGAAAACCGTCGATTTGCAATACTAACAAACCCACATTTTCTTACGCGTCTGGGCAAATGAGACCCTGTCAGCTCAGGCCCCAGGAGGCCCCTCTGGGAGGCCGGAACCCTAGCCTGGCGGGTGGGGAGGCCTCATAAATCCAAAACTGCGCCCTGGACCCCCCTGAAAACCCCCTCCCGTGGATCACCTGCAACGGACGGGCCTTTTGGGACCCCCCCCCGCGACCCCCTTAAGACCCCCCTGAGACCCCCCTGACACCCCCTTTCAAGGGTTCCCGGACCTCCTGAAACCCCGCTCGGTTTTGGTCAAAAATCCAGAAAACGAGAGACCACGCAGAGCCGTCGATTTCAGTACTAAAAAATCGCATTTTTAACTGGGACCCGGGCCGATCCTGGGGTCCCCCTCATTTGGGGTGTTTTTGGAGGCAAACTTGCCCTTCCAGGGGGGTCCCAGGGGGTTCCCAGGGGGGTCCCAGGAAGGTCCCAGGGGGGTCCCAGGGGGGTCCCAGGGGGGTCCCAGGGGGGTCCCAGAGGGGGGTCCAGGGGGGTCCCAGAAAGTGTCGAAGCCCCAAAACAACGATCGGAGGCAAAATCGCTGCAGGAGCCCCCCCTGGACCGGCCTTAGAAGATGAAATCGCGGAATCAAATCGCTGCGATTTAAACACGCAGGCCCAAATCGCTTCTTATTTGGTCGTATTCAACCGTTGGAAACGCAAATCGCGCGATTCGGGTTTCCAATGCCAAATCGCAGCTTGTGCTGCTTTCAAGCAGCACTCGTGAGAAATGGGCTCAATGAATTTTGCAGGCTTGGGAAAACTCATTTAGCCTACTTGGCCCCAAGACATTGTCGCTCTTGGCTGTATTCCGTCTCGGGGTAAGCATGGTTTTAGGTAAAGGGTCGTCATCGTCCAGTTATCGTCGTCGTCACGGAGTGCCACTGACACATAAACCCTAAACCCTAAACCCTAAACCCTAAATGCTAAACCCTAAACCCTAAACCCTAAACCCTAAACCCTAAACCCTAAACCCTAAACCCTAAACCCTAAACCCTAAACCCCAAACCAGCAAACCCACGGGAAGACAAAGAAGTCGTCATAGGCCTGCCCAGGGCATCCATGGATCAGTTTTGCTGACAATGGTAAATTGCGGGTGTATTCTCAGCGGGAGCTCAATGTTAAGATGTTAAGATGCTAAATGATTTTTTACAAGGTTGCAGAAATCATTTAGCAACTCGCAAAACCCCAGACCTTGAGGCTAGCTCAGTTTCGGGAGCGGGGCCCGCGGGGGAGGCTAGGGTTTAAGGTTTAAGGTTTAGGGTTTAGGGTTTAGTGTTTAGGGTTTAGGGTCTAGGGTTTTAGGGTTTTAGGGTTTAGGGTTTAGGGTTTAGGGTTTAGGGTTTAGGGTTTAGGGTTTAGGGTTTAGGGTTTAGGGTTTAGGGTTTCTGGTTTAGGGTTTAGGGTTTAGGGTTTAGGGTTTAGGGTTTAGGGTTTAGGGTTTAGGGTTTAGGGTTTAGGGTTTAGGGTTTAGGGTTTAGGCCTAAACCCTAAACCCTAAACCCTAAACCCTAAACCCTAAACCCTAAACCCTAAACCCTAATCCTCAACCCTCAACCCTCAAAACCGTAAACCCTCAACCCTAAACCCTAAACCCGAAACCCAAAACCCGCCACGCCCGGCAGGACATTTCTGCTCAGCTGCATAAAGACAAAACAGCTCACTAAAGGTTTTCTGCGTAACCCAAAACTGCGTCAAAACAAAACAGCCCGCCAAAGATCTGTTTGATGTCTACTCCTGAAATGCACAGACTAAACAGCTCATCAAAGATTTCCTTCCTGTCTCCTGAAATGCATAAAGACAAAACTTAGCAAGATACTGGTGCTTGCTGAGACCTTCTCACTTCGCTTTGTGGCGCTTCTGCGCCGGCGCATGAACGTCTGTCGTGCGAGCATTCTCCAACGCCTCGAGCGTCGCGAAGTCCTCGGCCTTGATGGTCATCCGACGGGCGTGCGTAGCGAGCCTTTGGCACTGGGAGAGCCGGTGGCTGGCATGCAGCTCTGCATACTCCTGCAGCAGCTGCAATGCTGAGCTCGAAATGCGTACGGGCACATGAGCACTGCGAGCTTGGAATTCCTCACAGCGGTCTCGCGGGAGCAACAGCTTGCCGGGCACATTTCTGCGGACCTGCTTGCCGGTGTCGGCATCCACGACTTGGAAAACATTCGGCTGGGTTTCCTCTATGATCTCCACAATGGTGCCTTTCTTCATGGACCCCATGTCAACCCGAGTCGCTGCCATCTGGCGCAGCAAGCTGACCTGGGTTTAGGGTTTAGGGTTTAGGGTTTAGGGTTTAGGGTTTAGGGTTTAGGGTTTAGGGTTTAGGGTTTAGGGTTGAAGGCTGTAATGAGGGTGTAGAGCAAGAAGGAGGGTTTTGGGTTTAAACGGCATAGAGTGGAGAAGTGCGTAATGATTTTTCGGGGGCTGGGTAAAATCATTCTGCCGTTCGGGGTGCATGCCGCACGTCTTCCGGCGTAGCGCAACCTTTCTGCCCAGCACCAAGAGGCAAGGAAGGGCAGAAGTCGACCTCATACAAGCCCTCGTGCAAGCCACGTGTGATAAGCACCATAACGCCTGGCGAGAAGCCATCCTCTATGAAACGGTGTGTCACCAACTGAACCCAGGTTCCCTCCACAAGGTCCTGGTTGCTGCAGCGGGCCACGTTCATCGGAATCTTGGCTTGCTTGATGGTGTCTTGGAGGATGTCCTTCACCAGGTCACCGAACTTGCCAACTGGGCAGCAGACTGCCCTTGGATCGGCTTGCAGGTTGCGAATCTGGTCTTCGGCGCTCTTCCTTGCATCAGAAGGGCGTGACACTTCCAATTTGATTTTTGCGACCCTCGAACAAATCATTCTAGTACTCCACCCGATTCCTTCTCAGGCATCTTAAATCCAAAGCCCTCAGTACAAACGGCTCTTAACCCCTAAGCCCTAAACCCTAACCTTCATTTTCATTATAAACTCTACACCACTCCACGCCAAGCATCTTTTGAGAGTCCCACCTTCCGCGAGGCTCAGTGCAAGGCGGCTTTGGCGCATCCTTCCTAGGACGGCCGCGCCCACGCTTCTTGTTCTCTGTTGCCGGCCCTGTTGCCGGCTCTTCCTGCGGCCTTTCCGGCTGCAGGAAAGAGGCGAGCTTCAACTGCACGACATTCACGAAGATGTTGTTCCTCAACGCGACGGGAAGCAGGAACTCTGGGTAGAGATCCATGGCGGACGGTCTCAGAAAAGCGAAGCTTGACGCGGGCTTGACACGAGCACCTTTGTAGTGTAGAGAAGGCTGCAGCGTTGAACCCCGTGTCGTGTGGACCCCAATTGCCTAAACCCTCAACGAAGTATTTTCAGCCACTTGGGAGAGCCCTTTGAAGGCTCATAGTCAATTGCGTCAATACCTCGGGTCGTGCAGGAGGCCAATACCCCTGCCTAAACCCTAAACCCTAAACCCTAGACCCCAAAATCGTAAAACCCTGAAACCCTATGGCCTTAACAACGTAAGCCCTAAACTAACCCTCATCTCTGAATCCGAAACCCTAACTCCTCAACCCTCATTACTCCTTGGTCTTCACAGGCCACTCTGGCTCGACTCTGGCCTGTTGAACGAAGTTGAGGACCCTCTTGAAGAAGTTGAGGAGGCAAAATGACCTTCAGAACGGCAACTGCAAGGGTTTAGGGTCTAGGGTTCTAGGGTTTAGGGCTCTCCCGCCCCCAACCCGCCCCGCCCCTCCCCCCCACCCTCCAGCCTCCCCCCCCCCTCCAGCCTCCCCCCCCCCCTCCCCTCTTGAAGGCCTGAAGAGAGGTGAAATGATTTTTTGGGGGCCTGCAAAAATCATCTCCCCACCCCCCGCCACCGTCCAGCAGGCTAGAAGAGATCGGCTGCAGACAAAAAGGAAGCAAGCCTGCAAAGTCATGAGTCATGAGCTTGAATTGTCTGCAAGGAGGATTTCTCTTGTTTTCAGCCACGGACCCCTTCGAAACATGGCTGCAAACTTGCATCTGTGTTTGCCATCTACTGACGCCGGCTTTTGGCCTTGACACGTCCAGTGAAAGCATGATCATCATCATTGTCATCCCCTCCATCACGCGGGTTGCTGTCAGAGGACACACTCGGAGCACGGCGACGGCGACGAGCAGAAACGGGAGGGCTGGGCGGATCATCGCTCCACTCCTGGGCTTTGTAAAGGCAATGCACCCATGCAGCCTCCACACCAAGGGTTGTCATTGGAATGCTGCAGCTGCGTCCATTGTAGGCCTTCACGACAAAAACCTTCTTGTCCAAGTGCACTGTGACGGGCGTGTGGTGCGGTTTGTGCAAGACGTAGGAGTCTTTGCCACGTGGTCGCACTTGTGGCAAAGCTGGAGATGGTAAAGACTCCAGAAGAGGATAGTGCGTGAGGCGCAAGTTGCCATAGCGAGGTATCCTTCGCATGAACACTGATACTAAAGCAGACTAGACGCCCTTCTGGACAGAAACCTTTCAAGACATGAGCCGAGGTGCTTCTCACGTGTCTCACACACGCCAGCACAACTGCTGGAAGAGGAGGCCATGGCTAGCCGACAGGAAGGAAGTTCCAGCCTTCACTTGTGCCCAACCCAGCGCTAAGAAACAAGGCGGGCATGCATAAACGTCGCAGAAGACAGAAAACCTGGAACGTCAATTGGGCTTGGGTCGCTACAAATCGCCAACAAATCGCTTGAAATCGCCGGGCTACATGGAAGTCCAAGGACCACGCCCACATGAACCTCGTGTGTGGGGCATAAGGCAAGCCTACTCCACCCTTGGCCTGAGGCCCAGAAACCCCTCAGGAAAATCGCCAGAATGATTTTTGCCAGCGCTGCAAAAATCATTTTGGGCTGCAGGGACGCCCTGAAACTCAGAACTGGGCCGCTGGCGTGTCACAGCAACACCGGGATGGACCAATAAGAACATGACCTCGGCAATTGGGCAGTAGGGTGAGAATCGGAATGATCAAGAGTGAAGGAGCACATGTGCACGAAGAGTTTTGCAGTCCTGCCGACTGGTTCACCCCTCCCGACTGCAGCTGAAAATGCCATGCTCCACGGCAGACTTTCCGGCTGCTTGGGAAGCTTGCGCGAGTGCGGAATGTATTGCGGATGCTAATGCAGTAGAGTATTGCGTTTCCTTCCTTGCACTTGCAATCTTCCCACCCCTGATGCTGCGCGCATCGTGACAAGTGAACGTCATCAGACCCTGAACTACTCATCCGAATCGGAACTGCTAGAAGAGGACGAGGCTAAGGACAATTCATCATCCTCGGGAAATGTGTCCTGCACCTCTGCCCGAACATCTCGCCTAATGATTGCTTGCACCCCACAGATCCCGTGTGAAGGTGTTGCGGAAAGCTTGGTGAAACTGAGGCAGCCAGACATGCTTGGGGGTACGGGCTGGGGCATGTCGGGCACGACGGCCCAAAGATTAATTGCTACGCTTTGCAGCTTGCTCTGCGTGTCGATGGCCAGACGGTTCCGGATGGCACAGCGATCCCTGTTGGCTAAGGCCCAGTAGCGTTCGCACTGGCCTTGCGATGTTGCGCAAGACCAAAACTTGTCGGCCATGACAGCCAGAGGCTTTGAAGGTTGGCGACTCTTCCACCACGCGATTACCTGCACGGGAACCGAGGAAATGATTTTAGACGGCCTCTAGACAATCATTTTCGCCTTCCAAGCCTCTGACAGAGGTGCATCCGATGTCGGGAAGTCCGTGTCCCGGAACAGGCCCTTCTTCGCACGGTAGTCGTCCATGTCGGACACACAGGCCTCCTGAACCTCGGTCGAGTCGAAAAACTTCTTGGGTAGAATCTTTCGGGCCATCACAAAAGCTGCGTGCGCATGATCCGGTTCTTCGAGACCAAAAAGAGGGCGCGGGTCAAAGATGCTGGCCGCAAGCACCATGTCCGTGCAAAACTGCTCTTTCCTGCGCGCATAAAGCTCGCGAACCTTGTTCTTCCTGAGCTCCACCGTCCCATTGTTCTCACCACTGTCCTTGAAATCGCAAGTTTCCAAGGCTTCCTCGAGGCGACTCTTCAAAAGGCACCATACGCCCAGTGCTTCTGGTAGCCTGGCGCAAGCAAAGACCTTGCTGGCGGAAGTCACTGCCCACATCACGGGGACAGCACGTCTGATGCGTGCTTCGAGGGGGCGGCGCTCAAGAGCCAACAAAGCGGTCTGCAATTTTTTGCGTTGCCTGGCGGAATGCCCAAGCTTCTCAGGGCCTTCACTTCGAAGTAGCTCGGCAACCTTTGCCCGGTGTTGTACCCATTTCACGGCCATCGTGGACCACGAGTTGTGTCTTGTTTTTCTCCGGTGTTGGAGAACTAGCCCGGAGGCCTAGCAGGGAATGCTGGGCACACGTTATAGCCATACATCGGAACAGAACAGTTCTTGGCCTGCCTTGAGTTTCCCGAAAAATTTTTTCGAGCGGCGAACCGTGCGGATTGCAGCGTTCACCTCCTGAGGGCACAAGTGAACTTGTGGTTGGAGGTTCGGGATATCGTAAATGACGCCCCCACCCCCCCCCCCAATGATTTTTTCGGGGCCTGGAAAAATCATTCGCACGCCCCCCCCCACCCCCTCCCCCCCCCGCCCCCGCCCTTCAGGGCTCTAGAACCTTACGAAACACCAATCCTCAACGCCTGGCATGGACCCCGCTCCTTCGTCGCCTTCTCCAACCATGGTATCGCAGCTCGCACATCTTTGAGTAACAACTGCATGCCGTGTTCCATACAGCGTAGAGGGAGCACGAAGTCTTGACGCTCGGCAGCCAAGATGGCAATGGCGGCCTGCAAGTCCAGGTTAGCGCAAGAGCGACCAAAATGATTTTAGCCACCACTGAAAAAATCATTTGGGCATTAGGAACCTGTTTCGATTGCAGACGTCCAACATCCTCTGCCAGCCCTGCAAGAACATCATGGGCTGAGAAAGGCCCTCCGCAGACATCTGCAGACTCCGACTGTTCCGGTCACACAAGAACGTGCAAAATGATTTTTGCAGCCACTGGTAAAATCAATTTAGACTTCAGAGCCTTCTTCGCTCCTAACAAAGCTGCCCCTCTAATTATGGGAGAAACAAACCTGCACAAGCTTTCCACACCAGAAATGGCCTGAATGTTGGCCGCATTGTCCGCGCATATCCCGAACACGCTTTTGTGCTGCGCGTAAGGCCGCAGCACTTCAGCGAGACCAGCCGCCGTGCTGTCACGATGAACCATCGAAATATGGTCCAAATGGTAACACCTGCGCAGACATTACAAGCTGGTCAGGCTTTTGGCCTTGGGGTTGAGGGCTTAGACATTCACACTATCTCCAACATCGATGTTGGAAGTTAGCACTCCGGCACACACCGCCCGAGTCCATGATGCCGACATTCAAAAAGCCGAGGCCAGAAATCGTCGCACCGTCGGTGCAAAGGCAAAATGGACCCTGCTTGAGAAGCTTCTGCTTATAGTCCTCCAGCTCCGCAGCTGTGGAATCCAGCACGTCTCGAACTTTAAACCGGGTTGGGCACTTGTATGTCGGCGCCAAGTTCTTGAAGAACAGCTTTGTCATGTTGCTTTCCACGGACATAAAGGACTGGTGGTTCTGAAAGATGCTCAAAGCGTGGAGTCTCTCAAGACCTTCTTGATCCATCGCAGGCCGAGGCTGCTTCTCTGGCAGCATGGCTCGCGCCTCAGGAGCACGGAGAAGCTCAAACCAGAGCTTGGCCGCCGGATTCTTCTGTGCGTTCAAAACCTTCAACTCTTGAGGAGTCACATGGTTAGGGTTGGCGCAAGCATTGGTCCTGCTCCCAAACTTCTTGTACTCTGTCAAGGCTTTTGCTCTCTTCTCATCATAGTCAAGCTCGCGAGATTCAAGGTACCTTTGCACATCTGAGGGGTTGGGGTTCGCGAAGTGCACGGCGTGTTCTACTCCCCTGCACACTCCGGTCGCCATTGAAGACCAAGAGCACCGCCTACACACAAGTTGTATCTTCTGGGACTTCTTGCTGAAGATGCGAACGAACCGCGCCTCCAGAATGGCGAGTGCAGTTGCAGTCACACCGCGAAGTTGCAGGGGCATCATGAGATCTGAAGCGTCCACCTCATGGCCTAAAGCGCGCAGCTCTGCCAAGACGTCTTCTGGAATCTGGGTTTTCTGTTCAACTTGCTCTCCGTCTGCAGCTGAAAGCGATTTTCTCTTCTTCGGCGCCATCGCTACC